TTATTTATTCAATAATTAGGTTATTACTGTGTTTTCTTCCCGAAAATTGACAAAATCAAAAGGAACATGATACAAAACGGAGAACTTTTGACCTTGGACCCCTAAAAAATTTTTGTGCGCTACTGATTAGAACACATGCATAAAATGGTTTTCATGACATTTTCACAAAGAAAATTTATTTAAATACAATATTTCGGCAAAAAATTAACTTAGAATAACCTTTTTTTCAAAATGTTTTCTTATAATAATATATTGCCAGGGCATCACTCAGACAACTGGACAGAGGCTCAGCTATGAGTTTCAAAAAATTCACATTATTTTCAGAGTTATAAGCCATTAAAATAATTATCGGCGTTTTTTCTTAAAATTTCTCCTCTCTGTTGTCGTAAAATATGGATAAACCCACTTCTAACTTACATATTTCAAAAATTCTAGTTGAGCCTCTGTACAGAGTATGATAGAAGGATTTTTTGTAAGAGGAAAATGTTTTGAATATTGGTTATTTTTTGTTAAAATATTGTACATAAATAATTTTTTTACTGTAATACTATTCTTAAAACAATTTTATGTACATTTTCTAATCTAAGTGACAGTAAATATCATACATATTATCCATTTATACGCTTTTGCAAAATCACGGTTCCGAACTTAGTCGGATACCTTAACAAGTTTGCCCGCACACTGTATAAAGGAACTGATATTTTTATCTTTTATTCACTCGTATTTTTAATCCTCATAGTGAGTTTTTTAGTGCTAGTGTGTTTAAGAGATTAATTTGTCCATGGTACTGAAATATTTCACATCCGGGCTTTTCTTTGTAATGAAGGTGGGAATTTTTCACTGAAGGCAGGAATTTACATTATTGAAAATATTCGATGTAAAACAGGGATTGGCAAAGCAATTTGTTGCTTGATAAGAAACGAAAATAGGAAAATAATCCAAAAAAGATATTATCTCAGTCATCCTTGCAATGTAAGACTTAGTATTATGTCATGCTTCAAATTGTGTATGCATATATATATGCACACACACACAATTCTGAACCATTTCAGAAAGAAATACAAACAGGAAAATTTTTTGTAAGTAGGAGAGAAGAGATATATGAAACATTCTTCTTATCATGCAGAATGGATTTAAAAATCGCAAACATTTAAGGGTTTTTGTGTTCCACAACTGAAAAGTAAAAAATAAAGGGATAATTTTAAAAGTGAAAATTAAAATAAAATTCTTTTATTTTCGCATTCTGTTAAGTGATATGCTTAGATACATGCCCTAAATAACGTGTCGTTTTTTGGAACAAAGGGCAAAAATTGACCACTTAATGGATTAAATGCTTGTTAAGGTTGTAATAGTTGTTTTTAAAAAGGTTATTATTTTTCTCTGTTCAAAATTAATTTTTTAATAAATACAACTGGATTTTCATAGTTAGTGAACAAAGAAATTACTATAAAAAGGAAAAAAAAAAACTTTAAAGTTACTATATAATTGGGCATATACTCAAAGAAACAATAATGCAAGATGACAGGTGAATATAATTCAAGAAAAATAAAATTTAAATTAATTTTAAGATGCTATTTACTTGAATGCATATTTTGGGGAATGTATTGCATCATTTAAGTCAAGAAATTATAATTTTAGAACTAATTTTTAAATGAAAAAATTCAGATTTATAGTGTATTAAACAATTTTTAATATCACGTCTTAAAACAGGTTACGTTATCTAATACTGTAATGAAAAAAAATAATGCTCAATTTTGCCAAATAATGCAAAAAAAAAAAGTAATTATAATAATGAATAAATAATAATAATAATAAATAAGTATTGAAACGTGATACTGATAATAATATGATAGCATTTTTCGATATTCAAGTTTTTAAATGTTTTTGGGAAATAACATGACAATTGAGTAAAGTTAGAAATTTTTAATTGAATACACAATTTAAAATTAGATAAGTGAGTGTGTATAAACACATTTACCAATGCATGATATTTCCCAATTATATTCAATACAGCGTTTATTGTATATGTATTAATCTAAAATTTCTGTTTAATGATGTACACTATGGCTGTCTTTGATCAATGTTAAAGCTTAGGACCCAAATTTGAAATATTCTTTCATATATAAAAGTACTCAAACATTAATATTTATCTGGCTTCACTATCCTGCAGAGAATCACTTATTTAATCATGCTACTCATTTTTATTCGAATGGACTTATTCTTTTCTTTTATAAAATGCGTTTCGCATTTTTCCCCTATACCTTAATGTTAAATGAGCTGTCCCTATGCATGTTAAAAGAAAAAATTAATTATTTATTAAATATTTTGAAATTTTAAAAACGCTACATATTAAATAAATGAACGTGTTATAATATCAGAAATTTTTATAAAAATATTTAAGTGTTTTTCTGTCCGAAAATGGGCTTTGCATATAGTTCAAGCTCTCCTACAAATGGTGAAAACAGCCTTAAATAATCATAGTATAAAAACAACATAGTTTATAAGATATATATAAAAATTTTCAATCATCTTGCAAATGATATCTATTATTTACAGCAATCACATATTTTTAAAATATCATTTAGATTATACAAAACGTAAGACCTTACATAACTAGCTCCCTTTCTTTTATAAAAAAAAATTCCAAATTGAGTAGCTTCTTTTGTAATTCAATATAAAAAGAAGTATTTCTTTCATTAAAAGCTCTCTTTTTTCAAGCAGACGAATCTCAACAAGTTTCTTTTGTGATTGGCAATCATTATTTCGTTAAGGAAACTAATTCGCCAGGTTAAACGGATTTGCTAAATTAGCGGACCATAAAATAGTTCTTTCTAATTAAAAAAGCATTAACAGGTTCCATATTTCATTAAAAAAAGAAAAAAATGAAAAAAAGAAAGTGATTCATAATATTCTTTTCTTAGATAATCACATCAAAATCCTATTAGGAAGAACTGGAAAGCGGAGAAGTGGAAGAATTCAATCACTTACGGCTTCTAATTAAAGAAAAAGAACCTGAAATAAATGTCAAATTTTTACACCATACATTAAGGCAACTCCTGCTACTATTCGTTAAGTAGAAAGGAAAAAGGTTCAAAGAATATTTTTCATGAACTCCTAAAACACAGAATGTTACCTTAATTGCAGTTTAATGCATTGTATTTACCGTAAAACCCGGCGTATAACGCGCACTCTCCTTTTTTACGAAGAAACCTAAAATGTATTTGTGCAATTCTCTTATGTTTTGATGTCATTTATTCGAGGTATTATCATAAGGTTTTAAAAAAATAGTATATTGCGAGAACTATAACCCTTTAAGTTTGCAAAGGATGACATTTCGTTTAAATATACAGTATTGGAATCAATATATCTATTTTTTTATGCTCATCTCTTTTTTTAATTTTTAAAGCTATCATTTTTATACCCGGTGTATAACGCGCAACCGTAAATTTAGATCTTATTTTCTGTTTTAAATGTGTGCGTTATATGCCGGATTTTACGGTAGTTTGCATCAGTTGTATCATGTAAATTAAATTTGAAAAACATTGTTGCATACTGCTTTTATCTTAAAAGGGCGTAATAGAGCTTATTTAAGAATAAATAGTTTTTCTAAATCAAATTAAAATAAAAGGTGAATTTGAGAAATACTATGTCAAATAATAGCAACACTTTTTCTAAACATTAATAATTGCAAAAAAATTTAAATTATGAAAAAAAAAAAAGGTTTAATAATAACAATCCTACAACATTTTAAAACTTTTGTAAAAATGTCATAATTAATTTACCATAACTTGAAAAGAGAGAATTAAAAAGCAAATATTTTTACAACCATACCATTGATAAAAAAGAAAATTTTTCTTATTTAAAAATAAAGTATTCTACTTTCATTACCAAGCTAACGAAAAGAAAACACGAAAGATTCACCAAACACAGATTTCAATTTCTCCTTAAATAACATATTCTCCTAAAAGGCTCGCTGTTCAAATCTGTTATTAAGATTATTTTACGGAAAAAGGAACTATCGATATGTATTCCTCTCGCACAGTAAATTTATCTACCCCGTTCACTTCAATTCTAACACTTAAAGATAGTAATATAGGTGGTCGGAAACTGAAAAATAAAAAAAAAGCAAAGAAGTCAGAAGACGGTTTTTAAATCAGTGATAAGCACAGAGATTTGGCATACTCAGCAGATGAATAGAAGAGTCTTGAATGCTTCTGCAAGACTGGCCAATTTAAGTGCAAATCAAGGAAAATCAACGAGAGAAGTTAGTAAGTGAACTGAATAGTTTTGAAGTTAAAGAAAACTTTTCAATGTACGATTGTGTAATACGAAAATGGATTCCTGAGGCCGTGTTTTGATAGTGATTTAATACCATGCTCGTACGAGTAGAAACGTTGTGGCTCATTCAATGTGAACTCATATTCCATATAAATGGTAACTTTTAAAACTTTCAGAAATATTCTAGTTTGACTGTGCCATATAGGGAATGTTAGAAATTATTTGATTATAAAAGAGAGACTGAAAGAATTTTGGAAATAATTTTTATTTGTTCAAATATGAATGGTAATTTAAAAATCCCAACTTATTTATACTTACGAATGGCGAAAGATGTTTTTAAATGCTTTCCTTATGTGTTATTTGTAGTAGACCTTGAGTATGTTGCGCCATCTTAAATTTAATTAATGCTAAAACGAATATATAATGTGTATAAATAATTATATATCATCAATTTCCTTTTTATGTAAAAATGATTTGGATTATTATTTAAGATATTTAAAATTTATTGAAGTTAAACTTCTTTTGGGGCGTTAGAGAAATAGAAGAGGGTGAATTTTAACGATGAGCACGCGCACCGTCACAGATGTGACGCAAAACCGTCACGGAGGAGATACACACCGTCATGGATGCAAAAACGCTTTGTCTAGGAATATACATAACTGGACAGATCATTCCAGCCTTCGAAATTTTCAGGAAAATATTTCTCTTCACTTCCCTGAAGAAGGGGACACCCGGGTTTGAACCGAGGACCTCTCGAACGCAACGAAATGCCCCTACCCAGAGCTATACCCCCGCGTCCGCTAACCTCTGCTTTGCGTTCCGTAAGAACGGATGCGAAAATGCTTTGATTTGCAGATACTTCCCGCCTTCGAATTCCTCAAAAAAATTCTCCTTACTACCCTGAATAAAAGGGCACGCGGGTTTGAACCAGGAACCTCTAGATCTGTAGTCGTATGCTCTAGCACTGAGCTGCGAACCTTTGCTTTGCGCTGATTTGTGACGTCACTACTAGTAGAGAAAGATCGCCCTTCGTCTACTTAGCTTCTCTGATGCCTTTGTTTGAACACTTTTTGTTATCAAACCAAACATATTTACAGGAAATTTAAAAAATTAGTAAATTAATCTTTAAATTGTGTTTCATGTACATAAAACATAAGAGTAAATATTAGTTTACCTATTTAAATAACAATTGCAAGTATATGATTATAGATGTATTTACTACGAACGCATTGCGATGAACATAAACACATTTATTCCATTGTAGCAAATTATAAGAGCCTTTTGTATTCGTATATTTATTTTTGAAGTTATCCTTCTTTTTGGGCGTTAGGAATAAAGGATGAGGGTAAATTTTTACTATGAACGCGCATACCTTCACGACACCGATGCGCGCGCGCACACCGTAGTCTAATATTTTAACATGCCACTTTTTTTGGTGCTATGGGATTGATATTTGGGGGATCATAATAACTATTGGGATGTACGTGACCATTTACGTCAGAGTTGTCCCCCCCCCGGGGGAGTTAGTTTGTTTTCCTTTTCCAAGCTAGCACTTTCCCATTTGCAACTACAGACTCCGGACTAGTTCTAATGGATTCCTCTTGTGTTTGCTCACAACCAGTACCAGTTTCGAGTTGCTGGGTTTCCTGCTTCTATTTTATTTAATTGCTTTAAATGATTTAATTATTTTAAAATGACCATAACTCAAGGGCTCTTCAGGCCTAGGTCTTATATTTCCAATGAACGATTCTTCCCGCCGAGACATTCGATATGAGGTCTCAGATGGCGCATTCGGCTCACTTCATCTCCAGATACAGTCTGATACCCCTATTTTATTGGTCCTATTGTCCCTGTGAGGGTTGTTTAAATTTATTTAAATCGTGAATATCTCAGGTTTGACTGGTCCATTTGACTGAAAGTTAGTATCGTTCAACTCTGTTCGTTATGGCCTTTCGCCCTTGGCCCAGCTTGCACTGCTAAAGATTTTTAGAAAGATTTTAATCTTGTTACGCCAAAGAAATATAACTTCTTACGTGCGTACATAAGTGCACACACTTTTTTTTTCATTTACGAGCTTAAATTTGTGTTGATTTATGTTTCACAAATTTCAAAATATGTTTTCTATATTAAGAACTCCTTATATTCTAAAAGATTTATTAACAATAAAACATTTTTAATAAGTAATTGTATATTTATATTTTTAATATTTCCCTTTATTTATTTACTTATTTATTTATTTATTTCATTTTCTCAATCTTTTTTATATTGCATTACCAAATTCAATACGATACAATTATTTCCATCTTAAGATGATTAATTACCTTCAGAATTATGATTCTGAACAAGAGTTTAAACTACTAATTATATATATATATATATATATATATATATATATATATTTAAATATAAATAATTTAATCACAACTTATAATAATCATTTAAAAAATTGAAATTATATGAATCCTATAACATTAAATCCCATTTCAAAATATCAATGGTGAATATAGAAGATAAAATTCCAACGTTTTCAAACAAAATTAAAAAAATTAAAAAATTATAACAAAATTTTATAAAATATGCAAGTGGAACCTCGGACTTAGGACCGATAAGTGGGGTTAAACTAGTTTAATGGCACCAACCTTCCCCCTATTGCAACTTGGTAAGTTAATCGAAAAATATCCAATTCTCAAAAAATTAAAAATTAAAAATTTAAAATTAAACCATTAAACTTGAAAAATTAAACTAATCGCCATCGCATTCTGAAAGATATTATAACATTAAAATATTAAAATTCTAAAACAATTAAGTGCATAATATAATATATATATATATATATTGGCCAATTCTCTACTAACAAGAGATAACATCCAAACAATAACATTCGACAAACACATTGACAGCAGGAAAATCACACAATGAAGGACAAAAGAGTAATCGAGATAATAAATATAAAATGGATGCTGCAGTGTTATGAACATTACTGACTTAGGACAGTTATTATATAAAAAATAATTTATATAAAAGTGGGGTTGAACATGTTTTTTGGCCAGCCAACCTTCCCCCTTTTTTTGTAAATAACACTGAGCAAAAACCAATAGGAAATAATGGATAGAAATATCTAAATCCATTACAAGATAGAGGTAACTTACCTAAGAATTGCACTTACAAATGCAAAGCCCGCGCTAAATCTTAGTGGAAACATTAATTTGTTGCCAGATTCTATACCCTAATACAGATTTAAATCAAAAGAGTGGCTGAAATGTAGCACTTAACAAAAGATTAAAAAGAATGGAAATAAAAATTAATAATAGTTGCATATTATAGTATAACTATAATAACACCAGAGTAAATATGAATAAAATAATAGTAAGTAATTTCTAATCTACTATTAGATTATGGAGATAACTATAACAAAATATTTGTTTATAGTAATAAGCTATTATCAATCTCATAATTTTAATCCTAACTATTTTGAACAGCTTTATTTATATAACTATTAATAAAATTAATTGGGTATTTCTGATTTAAGCAATATTTAGTAAAATGTTTATAGTTATTTATAATGTCTGATTTTTTTGACACAAGATATATATATATATATATATAGATATATATATTTAGTGCCTATTGAATTAGAACATACAAATAAAATTGTTTTAAGAATCTTATAGCAAAAAAAAATAAATACAAATAAATTTTCTGGCAAATATATATATATTTTGCAAACATTATCCTGTTATGACAAAGATTTCTATAATAGTTATAGTTTGCCAATATTTAGCTATGACTTCTTTACAGAGGCTGAATTACGGTTTTTTGGAAAAAAATAACATTATTTTCCGAGTAATGATCGACAAAAATAATAATTGGTTTTTTTTTTTTTCTTCTTTTTGTTAAAATTTTTCTACTCTGTTATCATGAAATGCGAATAAATCCACTTTTACATTATATTTTCCAGAAGTTCTAGATCAGATGTCCCAGCTATATATTGACAAATATTATTATTACAGAAGCATTTTTCATAAAAGGAGAATGTTTAGAAAATGTCTTATTCTTTCGTCATCTTTTTGCCAAAAAATTGCATTAAATAAGTTTTCGTGCAATAGTATTCTTTGAACAATTTTTGTGTGTATTCTAATGCACGTGACACTATATATATATAAAAAATATTTATTAATTTCTCTTTTTTCTAAATCACAGCTTCGAACGTAGTCAATCACAATAAGAACTAGTCGAAATAAAACTGGTTCAACTCAAATCAAGTAGACTATGCTTTGAAAACTGCAATTTGTGCAGACTAATAAAAATAATTGCTACAGAGAAATTAAAATAAACGCATAAATACGTCGGAAATAATTAAGGTACTTGTAACATAAGCGAGACAACTTATCCCGACAATCGTAGACTGTATTGTTTTATCTGTTCATAAAACATGATTAATACATAAAATGAACAACACGCGGAAAACCAATATTTATGATATATTTTATTGCTTTCTTGTGTTGACTTATGTTTTATGAAGCATATAAACCTGAATAAATGTCATAAACAACACCCTATTGTCGTTTTTTTTTTTTGCTGAACGTTGTTGCAGCTTATACTTTCTTTGTGTTTAAGGGTTCCTAGTATAAGTATTGAAACCATAAATCAGTTGAACTTAATCTCCATTAAAATATTTCCTAGACTCGATGAGAATTTTTTTTTACCAGAATAGTTAATGTTAGTAAAATGCAGATGATTTATGTTATATTCCATAAACATATTTTCTTGTAAACTATATAGCTGTTTTTTAACTATATAAAAATGTCTATAGTATATATGAGCATCAAACTTTTATGTCCCTCTAAAAAATACAATTTCACGTGGTATAAAAATTATGACATCTTTTTAACGTATACGTCTTATACACAGATAAGGTAGGCAAATATTTTTTTTTTTTTGTTTTAACACCTATTAGAAATAATTTTAGAATAATTTTCTTTGCAAACAAACTCCTTAAAATCTGCCTTGATTAGTAAATTTATAACTATTTTCTTAAAGCATGCATCCTATTTATAATATATGCATTAATTATTTTGTACATAAAATATATTGACTTAAATTTTTTTTATTATGATTTACCTGAAGCACATATATGAGCTTCATCCTATAAGTCGTTAAAATATTTTTTTTTCATCTAATAAATTTTAAAACACACAAACACATGTATTTTTTTTTCTTTTTCACATTTTCAATTTTAATTCAAAAATATGATAAATTAACAAGACAATACGTATGTTCGATTAAGAAGGTATCCGACTACTAGCGATAACTTTTTTTTTCAAAAAAAAATAAAATTGGGGTATGGGGATTTTTTTTGTATTTTTAGATTTATTTAGTACATTTTACGAAAACTATGCTACGATTAAGAAGATATATATATTACTAGAATGGGAAAAAATTGGTAAAAATTTACCAAAGATTACACATAAACGGGGCCCATTTTGTACAAAATGTTTACGAACATGTTTTCAATTTTTCAATTTTGATCTTCTTTGCATTATTCATTTTTGATATGACCTTTAGGTTGTGAGATATTTTAATTTTAGAAAAATTCGAAAACTTTTATTTTAGTTATTACCGTAAAATCCGGCGTATAACGCGCACCTATGTTTTAAAGCTGAATTTTTTTTTTAATTTTTAGGTATATTCGCCGTATAACGCGTACCCTATTTTTAACGAAGAAATCTGAAATATTACTATACATTTTGCTTTTATGATTTGAAATCATTTATTCGAGGTATTATCCCAAAC